ATGGAAGTTGTTCTTTGGTATTATAAAATGAAAAAAAAAATCCCAAATTGTGAAATAGTTTTGTCAAACTTTCAAATTTTGACATATAAAAATATTAGATAATATGCGCGTTGACAACGATTTACAAACAGTTGGAAATCTGTTTGTGACTCAAGGTTGGAACGAACCCAATAACAGAGCCTAAAAAACGTTGCTTCCATTATCTAATACTAGGCTGCACTATTTCAATCAATACTCTATAGTCTATACTAATATTAAAAATGTGACAGTTTGTGAGGATGGATGTATGTTTGTGGCTCTTTCACGCTTAAACGACTGAAAGGATTTAGATGAAACTTTACATAAATACAGCTTATACATCAGAATAACATATAGGTTACAGTTTACAAACGTTTCGTGCGATTTTGTTCATAATATAACAATAAGTATTAAGTAAATCGGAGAAATTATTGCTCCCTGAGAGCTATTTTGACGTGCGCTACCTATACCGTTAGAGTTACATGCAGATAATGTACCGTAAGATCGTTTATCTACCTCTTATGTGGTAACCACTATATGCAAAATACTGAGCCATAAATACAATTAAATTGGATACCTTTTTTACAATGTATACTTTAGAATATCTATCAAATTCTTATTAAAATTGATAGAATTGTCGTTTTAAGTATTTTATATTGTTACGTTTTTACCCATGGGTTCACCAATAATTGACTACACTGAATAATCAAACTTAATTTTATTTCACTTCAAATACAACAAACACTTCAACTAAAAATTTCAACTATCATTTTAATGTATATCGCCTTACTAGATCACTTCGCGTACTGCACTGTAACGTTCACTTCACTGTGTACTTGACTGACTGAATACGCTTGCAGCTAGCGTTTAAATATCGCAATGGAACATTGTAGAATTTCGCCGAAGTTCCATCGACATCGGTAGCATGTTTCTTGCGGCTTCTCGAGCGGTAGATAACATTGGATATTCCCACGCTCTCAGCTACGTCACGTTTGGTTTATGATTACCAGTGGCGGCCGGCGTTATTTCCTTTCGGGCATGATTTACAACAATATAGATAGACTTTGTCTTTTACACTAAATAATTTGGACGATTGGACGAATCGTTTAAAAGTTATCACGATAAGATTAACAACGTCTAGTCTAGGCGAATTTTGAAACAGCTCAATATCAACAAGGCGTCTGATGATTCTGATGAAGTGCACGTCATCATACTTTCCTTTTTGTTGGAAGACTGCTCGCGTTCAATTTATTCCCAAAAAAGGCAAGGAAAATTTTTCAAATAACTATAGACCAGTAGCTTCGCTATCAGTGATACCAAAAATCATGTATGGCTCTTCGGCTTCCTGAAAGAACGTTCCCTGCAAGTAGCCGTCGATAAATATCTCTCGAACACTTTTACCATTACCGCTGGTGTTCCCCAGGGATTTATATTGTCTCCAACCTCCTTTTTATTGTATATCAACGACTTATTGGAAAAAACTAAGAATACAATATATTGTTTTCTGACGACAGCACACTCGTCTCGTCATTCCATTTGGATTCCAGGACATCGGCTACGGAGGCACATCTTCACCGGCAGCAGGAGGTTACATATCTTAATGAGGATCTAGAAGTAATTTAGAATTGGGGTGGAAGTGACCAGGTTCAATTCAATGCCACACAAACGCAGGCATCGGTTTTCTCCAAATAGATAAATCTATCTGAACCGGATATAATAATGTCAGATCAGACAATTCCACTTTCTGCTTCGATAAGTTTGTTGGAGGTTAAAATGGACACCAATATGTCCTGGCACAATCATTTCACTGGAATTGCAAAGGCTGCTTCTCAAAAGCTTGGAACACTGTTCTGAACTAGAAAACTGTACACACCTCAGGAACTTCTGATGCTTTATGAAGCTCAAATCAAATCTTTAGAATATTGTTTTCATATATGGGGCTCCGCCCCTGAGCATACCCTGAAGCTGCTGGATTCCATCACTTGCAACCTTGATAGTCTGGAACATCGAAGAAAGGTTGTGGATTTGTCTTTCTTTTATAGATACTTTCACGGGAAGGGTTCAAGTGACTTGGCAAATTTGATTCCACCAAGAGCGGTACATATCAGAAATATGCGACACACCGTGGTTGCTCATCGTTTTGGGGTTCAACTCAGTACACCTCGAACTTCACAGTTTAAGAACTATTTAATTTGGAGAACTGCGTTCGTTTGGAATAAACTTCCTGAGGCCGTTTTTCCAAACGGATTTAATCTCCAGTGATTCAAATGCAATGTGAGTCACTACTTTCGCACAGGTATC